GTACCATGAAATGAGGTAGCTGCTATGTGAGCTATGGAAGGTATCATAGTGTACATAAAGTATGATGGCTATGAACGCTATAGTGGCTATACTGCCTTTATAGCATTTGCCAACTTTCGTGATGGGGTTTGAGGTTATAATTGGTATAATTGTGGTGAACTACAAAACAAGCAGATAGTTACAAAATACATCGTCTTCTGTTTGTTAGAATATATCTGAACTTCATAGAGTGGAGAATCTCTTTCGGAGCTAGAAGATAGACTCGGAGGGGAAGACCGACAGCCCTGAAAAAGAAGTACTAGTAGATCGAGCTGGTGAGTGTCCGAAACATCCATGCTTCTGATTGATTAGCACAATAAAACTCTTTATCTTGAAACTTGCTTGACGCTGTGGAAGTATCCCAGCAATAGACTACTTATTGAGCCCAGGCGCTGCCACCTTTCCTTTCGTGGAGATTGCAAATAGCTTTGGCAATACAGGTTCGGTAGTTCAGTTGGTGGAACGTCTGCTTAACACATTACCTCGCAGAATGTCGTCGGTTCAAGTCCGGCCTGGATCATCGTTTTGGCATTTAAGGAATAATATTTTGCGGAGAAGACGTTTGAAGGGTTCCGGAGTTCATACTTATCTGGCAGAATGTACTGAGCCTCTGGGGTGGAATTGGTAGTTTAAATGCGCAGTGGTTTTTCGTCTTCGAAAAAGGGTGTTCTCTACGAAGCTTAGGCCAGACAGAGAATAGCATGAAGAAAATAACAAAAAGGATATGGTTCATACAGGGGCCGAACTCGTGACCTCAGCATTACTAGTACCACGCTCTAACCAACACAGCTAATAAACCTATTGACAGGAAATGTTATATTCGCTCTGGGATACCTTCTAAGGGAATGAATTTATTATTCTTTATTTCTTCGGAGAATACGATGATAGAATATGCTGGCAGCTCATCAACCAGAGTTACCAGACACAGGATAGGTTAGAAGCCTTATAAACAGGAACGTTCACCAGAAACTGGCATGTTTTTAGTTACATCTAAGGCACAGCTTTTAGAGCTCCGCAGTCTTTGTTCTTGCCTCGTTGGCATTTAAGTTAATACGAAGTTGTAACGCCAACTCGATGCTATGCATCGCGTGCCTTCCCAAAGTCATTTGAGTACACATTCAGTCACCGATAACATACACTAATTTGAGACTTAGGGTGTTACGAGAGAGTCGACCCGAGACCCAGCGTTTGCAAGTCACAAGTGCGTTTTCTTATCACATCTTAAGCGTCTGGTTGACGCGTGACTTATATTTCCTCTCAAACATTAACATAAGTATACATTCTCAGCTGAACTGAGGTGGTATCTATTATTGTTACGAGAGAGTCAGCCCGAGACCCAGCGTTTGCAAGTCACAAGTACGTTTTCTTATCACATGTCAAGCGTCTGGTTGATATATTTCCTCTCAAACAGTAACATAAGTATACATTCTCAACTGAACTGAGGTGGTATCTATTATTGTTTCAGGGAAGTTACGATACTTATCAGTACCTATCAACAAGGATCCCAAGATGCTACAGCTATGTATCTCATGTCAAACGTCTGTTCGACTCGTGACCTATATTGTCTCTGAAACAGATAACCATATTCCCAACTGAGCTGTGGTGATATTTATTGTTCTTACAGAGGAGTTGAGATATTAGTACTCTTTTAAAAAGATAAACAGGATCCTAAGATGCTTGATTCAAACACATATAAGCCACTAAGGGGTTCCTGTCACTTCCTGCTCCAATACCAAGGTCAACATTTCTCTTCAGGCTCCGAATATTATCTTCAACATGTCAGCGGACAGGCTAGTAGTTAACGGATATCGTTTGCTTGAGAAAATGACTAAGGTTAGATTACAGTCGTTTGGCCATAAGCATCAATAGTGCTGCTTTAGGCACGTATGTCGCGTTCAACCCACGGAATGCGGAACTTAGATCACCCAGTTTTGACTGTTTACAACGGCGTTCTCATCATACCCGATGAAATATTGGTAATATGGACACAGTATATTGGTTTGGGATCAATGCTTTATCTCCTCGCCAAGATTGCTATGATCATAGAACTATCACTTTCCCTGGTCTTCGTATTAAATACAGGGTATAGTACACTATCCCCGTGTTCTACCGAGTATAAACTAATGTACATCTAATTTTGTAGTCAGCTTCAAAGTTGCAATGCCTTCTCCATTTGCTTCAAAGTGGCCCGAGTCCTCTGTCACTCCGGTATGACGGGTATGTTCAGATTAAACTACTCAATGCAATCCGTTAATATTCTCAGCTTTGCTCGTTGGGAGAGCATATGCTGTTTGTGGCCAAAACAGGAGGTTAAAAATATAATTTTGATGCTGTTTTTTATTTATATGTCTCTCCTTATGGTGCGTATATTTTATTAGTCTGGAGTGCCCTATTAAAGAACGATTTAATACAGGCTACGTTACCGTTTGCATCCTGTCGATTCCATGGGAATCCAATAATATTGTACGTAAGCTTGTCATAGATATCATAGATATTGGTTTCGCCCATTGACCGATGCAACATAATGATTTAGGGGTATGCGTTTTCCAACGGGCCGTTGTTTTAGTGTTTTATGTTAGTCCCGGCTATAGATATGGCAGTCACTGGACTTAGCCTTATATTTGAGACATGGATAGTGGGTCTCACAATATGGTGCATTCGAAGGAGGTCTACTATAAGACACCATCAGGAAAGTTGACAAAGTCCGTGTAGCGCTATATAGTCTATATAGCGGTTTTTCGCTCTGTAGCTAATCTAGCGACCTAGTACTTATATAGCCACTCTAGCAGCCTTAGCGAAAGGCTTGCCGACATAGCTGAGTTCTCGCTCAGCAGCTACCTAGTGCTATATAGCTCGATGCTAAGCTATCAGTGGGCTTCTACCAATCTAGCTCTCTCTAGTGACGGTCATTTCTCATTTATTCAAGGATTACTAGAAGAAAATATATTGTATTAAAGACATAGCTACATACACTGCCAC